AAATCCCAGCCCCTTTATGTTTTTTTTTTTTTTTTTTTTTTTTTTTTTAAAGGCAAGGTTCTTTTGTGTTATTTGCTTATTTTTGACCCTCTCCAGCCCCGAGTCCTCCCATTTCCAAAGAGAATGCAGGAATTCAGCCCTCTTCCTATATTTGCTTCTTCCTGGACCTTGGGGTTCACACCAGAGGATGCTATGGCAGTACTTACGTGTCTTTCTGGGATAGGGCATGTGAAGAAGGAGATCCCCAGCATGCTGAGAAGACTGACCAGGAGGAGGGACGCACTAAAGTAGAGGTAGTGTATGCTGCAGATGGACATATGGCACTTGCTGTCCGCACAGGTTCTGTGTCCGTAGATAAACTCAGGCAGCAGTCGAAGGAAGCCGATCATAACCCCCAAAGTCATTCCCCAGAAGGCACCCTGCCGAAGAAGGAGCCCAGAAGTCATCTGAGAGGAGGATGGGTAAGGACCCCAACCAGCTTCATCATCCCTTTCCTTACTAGCTGGGTTCTAGAGTTAAACTGGTTGGAAGAGGGCATCAATGTCTTGCAGAAGAAAAGGTGAACAAGAGAGGATGTACCAGGCCCACTGGCACTCTCTCTTAGGTCAGTCAGAGAATTTAAACAAAATTTAAAAACTTTAATGTGCAACTATGAATAGTGTCCAACAAGAGTCCTGAAGTCCTCTCTAGTTGCCAGGTCAAACCCCAGGAGCCATCTCCTCTTTTCTTTCCCTCATGCTCCACCACCCATTCCCAGTAAGCACTGTTGGCTCTACCTCCAAAGTACACCCAGAGTCTAACTCCTTGCCATCCTCTCCATGGCTATGGCGTGAACCCTGCCCCACCATGCTTTCTCACACAGGTGGGCTCCTCACTTTGCCTTCTGATTGCACACTGGCCTCACAAAAGCCAGAACGGTCTCTCAAAACTTACACTAGAAAATGTCATAATGCTGCCTAGACTCTCCACTGGCTTCTTCAGCTGCCAAGAGAATCAGATCACAATGCCACACCACAGTTGACCTCATCTGGTTCTGCTTCCATCAGAACCTTCTTCCTGTCTTCTTCAGCCCTGCTTGGTTTGCTCTTCTTAGGTTTTAGTATTTCTGGCTTATTCTTCTGGTTCCACCGCCTTACCTAATGTTCTCGTTTGTCTTCCCCCCCAACTCTTAGCCTTCCAGCCAGCTCCATCATCTTTCAAAATCTTTTGAGTAGCACTTTGCCACTATCTGAAATCATTACTTGCTCATTGGGCATTGCCTGTCCCCTTCAAAAAGACTGTCCACTCCATGAAAGTAAGGACTGTTTCAGCAGCCTGACTCAGGAGTGGATGGGGAGAGAGAGAGAGAGAGAGAGACAGAGAGAGAGACAGAGATAGAGGACACAGAGGACAGTTCAGTAGTCAGCACCATATGTTGTCTGGAGTGGGTGGGATAGACTCAGGGGCTGTACATGGAGTGTAAGGCCCAAGCAGTAGGCATGGATCCTCAGGTACCGTGCTTAGGAATTTGTGTAAGGCCCATTTCTTCAGTGCTAGGAAATAAGAAGGTTTAAGGTATGACTAAAAAATGTGAAAAATTACAAAAAAAGATTCAGGCAAGCTATACTTTCAAAGTGTTATTGATGAAATGGCCAGACCATTAGTGGGAATCTTTATTTGGTCTTAAGTATGGCCCAAAGAAATCGTTCAAATAATTATGTCTTCAGTAGACAGAATGTGGGAGAATCCCACTGCTGTGTATCCCCCGGTGAGTGTGGGATCTCCGAGGATGACACATTCACGCACAGAGGCAATGGGAGAATATTTTCCTACAGCTAAATATGTGGGAGGGAGAATCATTCACAGTTTCTCATCACAACCTCCAGAAGTTTAAAGTGATCAGGCTTGCATGGCTAAAAGTGAATTTTATTATAAAAGGAGAAAAACAAGTGAGAGCCCCCTGCCCCAAGAGGATCAGATATACCCAGGAAGACATGCTATCTCAGAAATCAAATGATGCCATAACGTGAACTCTTCAGGACAAGGGGAACTCCCGCAGGGCAACTCTTACAAAGGTCTCTGCGGTATGATCACACCTTTCCACGCCAGCACCCACCTCCTCACTGACTCTCTTGGAAAACACAGCGAGTGTGAAGAGGGCAGTAATGGGTGGCGTCAGGCAACTCTTTATCAGTAGCATATATTCGAATAGGTTTTCACTGAGACGAGTTTCCATAATAGGGATCCAAACAATGGTGGTAGCAAGTAAGGTTATACTAAAAAACCTGTGAATTGAACAAATCATCAGGGAAAATTTGATGAGCTTTCGCCCTAAATAAATAAACAGCTAAAGACTACAAACTGTTCATTATAGAGAAATGATATCAATCACATACAAACTATTTTAGAAATCAGAAAAATCAGTTCCTAAGTCATTTTATGGGGCAGAATAAGCACCAAGCCAAATTATATACAAGACGTAAGAAAAATCAGACCAATATTCTTCATAAGCATAGATGGAAAAATCCTTGACGAAATATTAGCAAAGCCAGGCCAGTGATATATACAAAAAAATGCAATATGACCGAACATGCTGTATTCTAGGTTTGCAAGTTTCATTCAACACTAAAAAAACAATAATTATATCTGTTTTTTCCTTTTCTCATGTTTATTCCTTTCCCCTACCCCTTGCACTTCCCCTTTGGAGCTTTTCTTCCTATTTCACATTATCTATTATACATTTTGATCCTCATTTACACTTTCGGTTTCTGATGCCAGAGAAAGTATTTGGTATTTACACATGTGTGTTCTATTTATTTCACTTAAGAGCATGCCCTCAATGTGCACCCATTTAGTTATAAAAGTCTCTAGTTTCTCATTCTTTATGGCTGAGTAGTACTCCTTTTAAACTTAATGAAGAAAAAACCCCAATTATTGTAATTCTCTGCATTAACAGGATAAAAAAGAAAAACCTCATGATAACTTTGATAGCAGCAGAAAAGCATTAGACATAATTCAACTAGAAAATGCGACTCCACTCTTCTGAAATTTTTGACTTAGCCCATTGCCTTCTCACAATGTACAACAGTGGAATTATATGGCTGTTTTGTGGGAAAAACTTGTGCATGTTTGAGAACCCTCAGTTTGGCATTTCAATTCCACATGGCCGATGCAGGTGGCATAGGTCTCCTAATAATGGCCTCTGGAATTTTAATCTAGTTCTTGTTGCTCCAAAGTGCCCTGGGAACAGAGGGGAATTCCCCAACATGATGAAAAGCATCTATAAACATCCTACAACATACTTGAGGGTGAAAGATTGAACATGTTTCTCCTGAGATTGGAAATGGTGCTAGGGTCCACTTTCACCACTTCTATTGAACACTATACTAAGGATTATATACAGAGCAATAAAGTAAGAAAACAAAAAATACAAATCAGAAAGGAGAAGCCTATCTTTACTCACGGGGATGTGGTCGTGTACCTAGAAAATCCCAGAGAATCAACAAAATGTGCACTGGAAGCAGTTCAGTGACTTTAGTAAGGTTCAAAAGATATAAGGTCAATTTAAAAAAATTGTGCTAGTGGCAAACAATTGGGAATTGACAGTAAAAACAATTCTGTTAAAAGTAGCATCAAGACCACGAGCTATTCTGGAGTAGGCCTAATGAAAGAAGTACAAGGTCTCCGCGCAGAAAACTAGAAAGCTGAGAGAAATTAAAGATTACCACCACATGGTGGAAGGGCAAGGTAGTCTGATTCTGCTTTAATCCCACGCGTGGGGGAAAGAGCCCTCTGTATCTAATCACCCCTTAAAGGGCTCGCTATGTTGCCCAGGCCAACTGCAAACATGATTATCCCGTCTCAGCTCCTGGTGTTTAATTCATTTACATTTCTTGAAATCACTGATATATTTGGGTATGCGCCATCCTATCACGGCCATCGCCTTCTACTTAACTCACTTGTTTTCTATTCTTTGTATCCCTTTTAGATTTCTCTTGGGCTGCTCATATATTTTGTTAGTTATTTTCTATCTCCTCCTCTTAACTTGCTACTTCAACATTCTCGAACCCTTCTCTTATTGGTCGGATGAGAGATGAAATGCATTTTTCATGTATTATACTCGGGCACAAGTTTTACTCTTGTCACGTCTCCAATAACTCTAGAATCTTAGAATATTTAAGTTGGGTTTAGCTTCTCATTTTCTCTGCTTTTATCGTCATATATTTTACTTCCATATGCTATAACCCCACAGACTTTTTTCTCATTGTTTCAAGCAGTCAGTGTTCGTTTACATTTCCACATGTGTACTCTTTCTGGAGTTCTTCATTTCTCTCTAAAGTTCAGTTCTCCCTGGCTTATTTCCCTTAAGCCTGAAGAATTTCCTTTAGGATTTCTTATAGGCGAGTCTAATGTGCTACATTCTTTCAACCTTTGTACTTATCTAAGAACATATTTATTTCACCTTCGTCTTGGAGAATATTTTTGATGCATATGGAATTCTAGTATGGTAGCTTTTTTCCTCTGCTGTTTGCAGATAACTTACTGGCTTCCGTAGTTTCTGTTGAAAATTCATCCAGTCTCTATGTTGCTTTGTCAAAGGTAATATGATTTATTGTCATCTGGCTGTTTTAAATATTTTCTATCACCTTCCATTTTCAGCAGTTTCACTAAAATGTAGTCTAAGTATGGTTTCATTTGTGTTTGTCCTGCTTTGATTTGTGGGGTTTCTTCAGACTCTAGACAATTGTCCATCAATTGTGGAAAGATTCTGGTCATTATTTTTAAAAACTTGTCTCTATCTAACTTGTTCCCCACTCCCTCTGTGATTTCATTTACACGCATTATCACTCTGGTTGTGCTTTATGTGTACCTAACTTGCTTTGTGTATTTCAGCCTGATATTATTGATTAATTTCCAATTCAGTAATTGTGTCTTCTGCTATATCCAACTCAATGTTAACTCATCCCCTGAGGTTTGAATTTCACATATTTATTTTTCAAGTCTAGAAAAACTTGTTCAATCTTTTTTATATAAATTCTAATCCCCAGGTAAAATTCTCAGTCTTTTTATCTATTTTATATATCTCTCCCTCTATTTTGCTGTCTATATTAACCATGGATATATATATATATATATATTTATTTATTTATTTATTTATTTTAGTACCAGGGATCGAACTTGGGACCTTCCACTTTCAAGGCAGGTGGCAGAACCACTGAGCTAAATCTCTGGCCCTTTAACCATGGATATTTTAGAGTCCTTGTCTGCTAACATCACCTGTGGGTCTACTCCATCCATCCATCCATCTGTCTGTCTGTCTGTCTGTCTGTCTATGTATCTATCTATCTGCCATGATGAGGAAGGACATTCTTACCTTGTTCCTCTCTAACTTCTTCAGTAAGTATGCTGTAGGCTTTTTAGCATGATATAGATGTGCTTTATCATGTTGAAAAGCACTTCTTTTGCCAAATATCTTTTCATTACCTGTAAGTAGGTATATATAATTTTCCTTTTTTGATCTGTCAATATGTTGAGTTATATTTACTACATTTTCTAATCCTTCTATTTTTTGGGGAAAAAAGCCCAGTTCATAATGATGTATCACTCTTTTAATGTATTGTTGGATTTATGCCTAACATTTTATTAATGTTTTTTGTGTTGTAATTTAGAAGTCAGATTAGCCTTTAGTTTTATTATTTTTCTGTGCTATATTTGTTATGTTTTGGTATCATTGGCTTGCACTCCCTAAAAAGAATGTTCGCTTTTTTTCCTTTGTTCTTGAATAACTTAATAAAACAAATCAATTTCTTAAAATTTCCAAGAAAAGGCATTCTTAACCATGTATGGTATTATAAATATAAAGGCAAGCTCAAACACCTGCAGGGATGAGACGGTTTAACAAGTGTTATAACATGCACCTTGATGTGAAATAAAGGCAGTGTTTTAACTGAGCAGGGTGGTGCTCACCTGTAATCCCAGCACCTCCCAAGGTGGGCAGGAGGATCACAAATTGAAGCCTAGACTGGGAACATAGTAACTTAATGAGATACTATGTTTAAAAAAAGCTGGGGATTGGGGGTATGTGTTGGGGATGTAGCTCAGGGTTCAACTTCCAGTACTGAAAAAAAGAAAAAGGTGATTTTTAGCCACAACATAGGGTCCCTTAAAGATGTGAGACCTGGATGTGGCTCAGTGAGGGACCAGGGTGAAACCCTAGGGAACAAGCCCTTTACAACGGGGACCTACCAGATACTGCATGGCGTCACAGTTAATTTCATGGCCCCAGACAGATGAGTCTGAGTTTCCTCTCTGAGCTACTATTTTTCCATGTGCAAATGAGAATACGAACCGTAAAACTTAATTTAATAGTTGTCATGAGGACTAAATGAGATGAGATAGTTTATGTAAATTTTCCCGAAAGAACTATTTTTGTGGGGGGTACAATAAACTACGCTCATTTATATCATTGTGATTATTATTACTTTCTCTTTTTTAAAAAAAAGAGGAAACCATTTTCTTTGTCATTATCAAAGCAATACACCCATCTTCATTGCAAAATTACAGCAATAAAAACCCAAACCCCCCCAAAAATCTCCCCAAACCAACCAGACTCCATAAACAAGATGACTCTAAATACAGTGTGACAGCCTCACAAATAACGTATCGGGGTGACGGTACTAACTAACCAATTTCATTGATGTATCGAATAACGCAATGGACGGGGTACTTCACCTTGCCGTTATCATGAGTTCGTTTTCAGAGGCCTTGGGCCGCATCCAGGCGTAGATGTTCATGGTAAACAGGGAATTCACACTGTTGAAAGCAGAAGTCAGGGAGGAGAGGATGGTGGCGCACAGCGTGGACAACATCATGCCCCGGAGGCCTGGAGGAGAAACAGTACTTAGTGAACCCCCTGCTCTTCTTCTCTTTTTTTTAAAAAACAGTACTGCGGGATCAAACGTAGGACCTTGCACTCACCAAGCAGGCACAGTGCCACTGAGCTACATCCGTGGCCCTTAAAGTTTTTGGGAATTGATTGACTTTATGACATGAGACTTTTTTGCGGGGGATACCGGGGCTCGAACTCAGGACCTTGCACTTGCCAGGCAGGTGCGGCACCATTGAGCTACATCCCCAGCCCTCTCCCAGCTCGTTCATTGTGCCTGATGACAAAGGCCTCCTGAGGAACTTTTCCCGATACCAAATTTCCTCCTATAAAACATCCAAATTTTACTCAGAATAGATTTCCACTGAAGACAGATTATGGCATTACATCTTTTCTTGCTTTTTAACAAGGCTTAATTGTTTCCTGCTCTGTTTTCATATAATAATAGGAGCTAATATCTCCTGGGTGGTTAGTTTGTACCAGAACATCTCTTCAGACATCAGCCTGTGCCATCTTAAGTACAGTCCTGTGAGATGGTTGCCAATGCTTTCCTGTTTCACATGTGAAGAGTAAGCGCCTCAGAGACGGTTCAGACGTGACGTGTGATGTGCATCTGGGCACCTCAGTGTTCTCATCTGGAGAGTGGGTGTATAGTATCTGCCACCTACAGCTGCTGTTAATATTAAGGTAAATTTGAGAAGATGAGCTCACACAATGCCCGATATAGAGCAAGCCCTCAACAAATGCTAGTGATGAACAGTGATCTGGTATTAGAAGGCCACGTAGAAGGGGCCTTAACGGCTCTGTGAGAAGATGCTTTTTCTGTGTGATGTCGGGAGAGCCTGAGGGGAGATAACCAGGATCTACACTGGACGCCTACTGTGGCAGTGCCCCAAATATAGCCTTAGTGCACCAGTAGGAGCAGGCAGACATAGACTAGGTCCTTGGATTTGCCTTCCTTCAACTGCCAACGCTTACTTGCAGCCTTGGATGTTTGAAGTGGTGGCGTTTCTGGAGGCTTAGGCAGGGAGTCCAGATAACTCATTTTGTAAACGTGGGATGGCTAGTTTTCACTCAATCAGATTCTACCTATAGTGTATTGTATGGAAATGTCTCAACTCTTCCAACCTATTGTTCATATATATATATTTTCACTCGGTCATTTCAGTGGGGTTTGGGGAGAAAGGTGTGAACTCATTATGTCTCAAAAAGTCACTCGACAACTGGATAATTGCTCATCTCCTTGCCCATGTTACTGGATGGTGAGCTCTTTGAGTGCAGGACTAGTTCCACTCATCTTTGTGTTTTCATGGCTTAGAACAATGCCTCACACAGTGCAGACCCCATTTTTTAAATTTTAAATTGAATTTATTGGTACATTCTAGGTAGACAGTACAGCTACATTCATTATTGGGATCTTGTACCTTTACATGCCAGGTCTTGGTTCTCATTCTTTCCCCTTGTCCCTGCCCTCCCTTCACCCCCTCCTCCGCTCCCCACCTTCAAACACTTTAATTCCATTTTTACATTTTCTCATATTTTTTTCCTCTTTCCTTATTCCCCTTTCCCTATCCTTCTCACTGCCCGAACACCTTTGGTCCTTTTCTTCCTATTTCACATTGCTACTTGTCCCGTTAGGATCTTGAGTACTATTTTAGCTTTTCACACCAGAGAAACTATTCGGTATTTGCATATGTGTGACTTATTTATTTCACTTAGGAGTATATCCTCAAAATGTACCCTTTTTCCTATGAATGAATCTACTTTCTCATTCTTTATGGCTGAGTAGTATTCCATTTTATAGAAAAATCACATCTGTATCCAGTTAGACCCCATTTTTTTGAATGAATGAGCAAGGGAACCAGCTCATTGTGTGACATAAATAATGTGAATGACGTGTGCAGATTGTGCCTCCAAGAAGATATGCACCACCAGTGTGCAAGGAATAGAGAGGGAGGAGGCCCTGATCCTTTTGTCAGGGTAAGCAAAGCTTCCTTGCATGTTGCTAATGTCCCTCCCACCTGGCAGTCTGTGTTTCCTTCCAGAATGATGGGCTAGCTGGTAAAGAAGTCACCTCCAGAAACCTCACTCCTAACTGGCCAATTACAGCCCTAGCGCCTAGGTGCCAGTGGGGATTCTATGGCTCTCAGCAGCAGGGCCTGTGTCTTACTGGTAGGCAGCAATGATATCACCATCCTTGGATAAGCGACAGGGCTACAACTGCTTTGGGCGCCGCAGTACTTTTTACATTCTGAAGGTACAACACATGCCACTTCGCCTGCAAAGAGAAATCACAGTCACACCAACACACAGCCCTTAAAGCTCTAAAATATGAGCCTAGGATTATGGAAGCAAATTAGGAATTATATATTCACATGGAAATATCAGACTCTTACAGTCTACTGGTGACAGGTCCCATTCATAATCCTCACACTCTTGGGACCGGACGCTGGAGAAAAGGGTTAGGACTCAGGCTCCTAGGAGTCAAATGAATTGGTACCTCCACCGGTTCATTGGGTAACCCAAGGCAAGTCACAAGCTCGCAATGAGCCTCCCAATGATTCTAGCGAGGTGTTGGGAGAGCCGGTCGATTATTTGCTGCATGCTAACATGTGAGCAACTCATAACCTTACCTCCTTGGACCTGACAGAGTCATTGATTCAGAGCAATAAGTTGGGACTCCAGTTTGTAGCAGAGGGGCCTATTTCCCACCTTTTAGGGAATTACCAACAATGTACTGCTTAACAGCTGAAAAGCAAATTGGGGAATGTTGAAACTAGTCTCAGTTAAGCCTGGAAATTAGGAAAGAAATGGAGGTGTGCCTCAGGAGCAAACTGCAGGAGAGATCAATTAGAGATATCTACTGCACATATTTCTTAGTTCTGAAAAGCAGCCTACATTTTCCGTGCCTTTGTCAAAAGCACTATAACAAGAGACTCTCCCAGGAGTCATCTGCTCTGACCCTGTGGCTGCACCAATCAGAGTAAAGTGCTCCATCACATTTAATGAACAAACAGACTCGTTACCCTGAGAGACAGAACAGTCTAGTAAGGATGAGCTAGTAAAACCAGCTACTTGAAATGGGGATGAGATACAGCCATGAAATTATGATAACTCATTAGGGGAAACACAAATGCTTTAATAGTATTTAATGTGGGCCTTGCTCTGAATCAGGCTCACTTTGGTGGCTGTGTGGAGCTCTTGACAATGTACTTGGGGCTTTGAGAAGCAATGGCAACATCAGTTAGATCCGTTAGATCCCCGCGCTAGGTGTGCCTAGTATAACACTAGTGATGTGATGGGAGAAACTTAATCTTCCTGCAGACTGCGTCCCAAAGTCATGAGCAAGCTCCTGAGAGACAGAAGGAGGCTCTGACACACGAGAAAGGCACCAATCTACTCTTCCTTGTCTGAACTTATCACCCTGGTACAGCGTTTGTGACTTGCTGTGTATATCAATAGTTTCTGCTAGACTTCCGTTAAGGAGCATTCTGGGGCACCCCAATGACCAGTATACTACGGGAGACCTCATAACCCCAAATGGTCTCTATTTCTCTAAAAGAGGAGTAGCTAATTGGTGTGAACACATTAGAATCAAGAATTTACTTGGGTAAAAGATGCGGCTGATCATTCCTGGCATCACCATGAGGAACATGGGCAACAACTTCAGGTAGCCATACAGAAGGATACCAACTTTCATGTGAGACATGCTCTTCCCTGCCAGGCCCCGCTGGACAGAAACCTGCCGAGGAAACACAGGTGAGTGAAGTGAATGACGGCTCTAGCAAGGTGCTGAAAGCCTGGGCTACCTCAGCACAGTCAGGACAAGTGTGACCTGCTAAAGCAGCAGGATGTGCCCTCTAGTGCGTGTTTGCTAATCTGCTCACCACTTGTCCAAACAGCTCTGGGCCTTTCAGGGCCAGGGAGACACATATCACCCACGAACATGTTTTGTGCGATACATAGCGGCCAGAGGGGACAGGGTGCCTGTGAGTATGGCTTCACTGCAGCAATCAGGGCGAGGCCAGGCTTACCAGCTGTCTTCTGGAAAGGAGAATACACCCTCTCAAAGGCCTCTCAGAGAATGTTTCTGACAGAAAGAATAAAGAAGCCTTTGTGACATCAAAGTAAAGATGGGCCCCTGGCAATCAAAGAGTGTTCAGGCAGGGACCAACTTCATTTATCGAGATTAAATAAACTACGATAGCCCTTTAAAATGCAAGCTCTCCCAGGAGATGTTTTGGGACCCATTTCATGGTGCCAGTGCTATTAGAGGTGGTCTACTGTCAGGCTGAAGGGAATGGCACAGCAAGCAAGTGGAGAAGCACTTAGGAGAAAAAAGTAAAAACATAGTTGAGAACATCACAATAATACACTAAAAGTTCTGCACTTAAAGAACGTTCAAATAAAAAATATCCAAAGTGACTGAAAGGCATAGGTTATGAATGGTACATGCATTGTGATTTTATGTTTACATCAAAGCCCATAGGAATAAACATAGTGGTTTATTGTGGTTAATCCGGGGGTAAGAGAATTAGCAGGTAGGATTTCCCTTTTCTTCTTTACTTTTTCCAAGTGTGTTCTTTTAATACAGGAGAAAGAACCCAAATGGATACTTTCCCACACAAAGGTATTGATTCTTAGGAAATCTACTGGCCAGCCCGCTGCTGGTCTCCTAGTGGAGAGGGGCCTCTCCTGAGTAGAGGGTATACGTTTCTGTTCCAGGCCTTAACTTAAACCTGGGCGTAGAAAAGGGGGTCTCTTATGGAGGGGATGAAGTAGCAGGGCTAGGGCAGATTTGAGGAAAGTGTGATATAAGGGCATTAAATTATACTGTGTAGAAAGTCTTAAACACTTTGGCATATTGTCATCGATTATAAAGTGGGGGAAGGGAAGGATTGTTGTTTACAAGTGGTGTTGGCCAAAATAAATTCTCATCAGTTTATTAGCTTTTTTTTTTTTGTAATTAAAAATGTTTCTTAGAGCCAGGGATACAGCTCTTGTCTACAAGTGGAGGGGCCCTTGTTTAGCATATTGAAGGCCCTGTTTTTATCCTCAGCACTGCTCAACCAATGTTATGGCCTTATCCAGATGTTCTATGACAGCCTCGTGTGCTTATAGGTGGGGCTTTTCAGAGCTGGCTGGATCTAGGGCATGTGATGCTGGAAGTGAGGGTGTGTGGTACTACATTAGTCGCCTGGTAGATAATGGGAAGGCCTATCCTGGGTGTGGGTGGCACCACCTAAGTCTTGTAGTGTGGATGGGATAAAAGGAAAAAAGAGAGGTGCTTCACTGCTGCTTGCTTCTTGCTGCCTTCTGCCTTTCTGCCTGCCCTGCTGGGGACTGTTTCTCCTCAGTGACGCCCCTCTGCTGTGCTGCCCTTCCTCGGGGCCAACCAACTATGGACCAACACCTCTACAAACTGTGAGATAAAATAAACCTTTCCTCCTTCAACATGTGGGCGTGGAGTATTTTGTCTCAGTGATGAGAAAAGTGACTAAGACAGCAAACAATTCCCCCCCCAAAATTAAACAAAAAACACATTTTTCTTAAATCATTTCATTTACAAGTTGGGAAGTTACATATTCTACTTCCATGCTTTTTAATGGCTACTTTAAAAATTTTTAATGTAGATACAACTTGAAGTCCAAGGTAAATCGGTATCCCTTCCCTTATTCTGAACAATTTGAAACCCACAGACAGATATAACTCTACTTTGTGGCCTCACACTTGTGTGGTTCTTACTTCCCATTTTAGTGATTAGTGTTTTTATCCAGTGCTTTAAATTTACTTATATGCCTATCAATGTCTTTTCTAACTATCCCTTCGTGTCCTTCAGTACTTTCACTTTCTGTACACACATTCCTCGGTCTTTGGTAGGGGAAAGTGATGTCCTTATTTTGCTCTTTGTTCTATGTGTGTGTTTGTGTGTGGTACTGGGGATCCAACCCAGTGGTGCTTTACCACTGAACTACATATCTATCCCTATTTATTTATTTGTGTATTTACAGATAGGATCTTTCTAAGTTGCTCAGGCCAGCATTGAAGTTGTGAGACTCCCGCTGCAGCTTTGTGAGTAGCTGAGACTTCAGGTACATATTACCACACCCGGCTTGCCATCCACCCCTTTCAAATAATACTTCACCTGGCCATGTAATTTGGAACTGACAATTCTTCCCATATTTTGAAAAAAAATACTCTTCTATCTTCTTTAATTCAGCTTAACTTACAGCTGCTGAGGTCTGTTGTCAGTATAACTCTTGTATTTTAAGTAATCTTTTCTTTTAGATGGCTTCTTAAAACCTCCTTTCTTTGATATCTTGAAAGTATGCATTTGATATATGGGTCAGTCATTTTCTCTTTGAATGCTGCTTTTCTCTTCTGAAAACTCCAGTGAGATATATTTTAACCCTGACTTTGTCTTCTATGTCATTTTCTTTTACATTTTGACTTTTTTGTACTCTTGGGGCAATTTCTTCAGTTCTCTGAGGTAACAATTTTTTCCCTTCAGCTCTGTTTAAACTGTTATATTAACAGTTACTGACTTTTACCTTTCAATAAATTTACTTTTCTTTGTTAGAAGTTAGAATTTTCAAATCTGGCTGACGTTTTGGACAGAATTTTAAAAATGTTTTTTCATTTCCACTTTTATTTCTTCAACTTTTAAAATTTATCAAATACTTCAATTTTCTGAAATTTGGGAGTACTAATTCTGTGGTTTGCTCACTGTAGTTTGACTCGTGTTTTCCAATTTGGGGTTAGCAGCTCAAGCTGATCGGGACTTTATGGGAAACTTGAAAGACTTTAGTCTAAGTTTGTCTTAATTTGTTCCTGTCATATCTTAGTTGCCTTTTCATTGCTGAGACAAAATACTTGGCACTGGAAAGCTAAAAGAGGAAAGGTTTATTTCAACTCACAGTTTGTAGAGGTCTCCATCCATATTTAGGTGGCTCCAAGGCAAGGTGGTATGTCAGAGGTCAATCACAGAGGAGAAATACTCCATGGGGTTGCAGGCAGAAGGCAGCAAGCAGTGAGCAGTAGCCTTCCTTCCATCTTTCTCTTTTATTCCATTCAGGATAACTTTTGGATGGTGCCATCCATGTCCAAGGTGGGGCTTTCATTATCCACACCTTGAATCCTAATATCACACTTATAGGGGTTGGGGATTTAGGTCAGTGGTACTACACCCACCTTACAAGTGCAAGGTCCTGAGTTAAGTCTCTGGTACCAGAAAGAAAGAAAAAAATATCACACCCCTAATCCACATTCACACATCCTATATCCAGCCACCTCTAAAAAGCCTCATCTATGAGCATATGAGGCTTTGGGGAGACCTCTAGATACAAGTCATAACATGTTCCCATAACAAAATGCCTTTGATTGAGAAATTTATAAACAATGAAAATTTGTTTTTCACAGTTCTGAAGCCTGGAAGGTGTAAGATTAAAATGGCAACAGATTCCATGCCTGACAAAGGTTTTGTCTCTGCTTCTAAGATAAAGCCTTGAACACTGTCCTTGCATGAGTGAAGGGATGGAGCACGAGTCTCATTTATGACAGCACAACCTTCATTGTCTAAGCACCTCTTACAAGCCTCACCTCTTAATAATGTTGTTTGGGGATTAAGTTTCAATATGGATTTTGGAGGGGGCATAAACATTCAAGCTATTCCTGGGGTACATTCCACAGAAAGAATCTGTTACCACTGCTGATTGGTCAATCATAAATGTTGGATGAGTTTATGTTCATTTTTCACATAGGATTTGCCACAGTTTCATTAATCAAACTGTGGAATAGAATTCTTCTCACTTCCTGTAATTCACCTCCAGGCACTTTTTTTGCTGTTGTTCTTTCTCTCTGGTGGTGGGCAGATTTTTTTCCTAGTGTATCATTTCAATGAGGCTATTGAAATTCAAGACCGCAAGTTCTACATGGCCTTTCTCCTGTTTACACAAGGCTGCTCAAATCTAAACCTTTAAAAACCAAGCTCGAGCAGGCATGGCGGTATATGCCTATAATCCCAGCATTCTGGGAGGCTGAGGCAGGAGAATCACAAGTTTGAACTTAGCCTAGACAATTTAGTGAGAAATTGTCTCAAAATAAAAAGTATAAAAGGCTAGGAAAACAGTTCAGTGTAAATGCTCTGGGTTCAATCCCCAGTAAAGCAAAATCTGGCATCCTAGGAATTTGTATTGGAAGGTAATTCAGGAAATACAGCTTACCTATTGCCAGAAGCAGAATCTCAGGGGAAACTTTTCAAGTTATGATTATAGAGAAGTTGAAAAGAAAAATATAGAAAGATTAAAAAAATTGCTAAAATGGCACAATTAAAATACAAAGGGGTTTAGACTATAGCTCAGTTGCAGAGGGTATGATTGGCACGGTCCTGGATTTAATCTCTAGCCAAGAAAACACTCCACCCAAACAAAACAAAATAAATAAAACCCCCATAATAAATAGATGGGACTGGATACAAACAAAAAAATGGATACATTACAGAGACTAGCCATATATTGTGCTCTAGATGTCATCTTGATTCCTGTTTTTCTTACCCAGTAGATTTTTACCGATCTATCAATATGTTGTATATATATCTAGTCTACTGTTTCTAGCTGCTACATGGCACTATAGTATTATCCCTCTCATTTCATCTACAAACTGTACAGTAACTGACACAATAAATATGGTGATGGATATCTCGTACACAGTCCTTTACGAACTTGTGTGAGGACATTTTAGGTA